AAAAAAAAAAAAAGGAAGATTCCGGCCAAAATGCCCGACAACAAGACCCCACCGACTGCGCCTTCGGCGCCGACGGTCACTCTGCCTCCGAGGAGTTCGGTCGAGAGCCTGTTTATGGGCGGGCCGGGGATCAGCCCGGGCCCGATGACTCTGGTCTCGAGCTTCTTCGCCGATAATGACCCTGACGGCGACTGCCGCTCGTTCTCCCAACTTCTCGCCGGAGATACATCGGCCCCCGCCTCGGATCCCGGGGCTGGGCAGGATTTTAATTTTCACCAGAATATGCCGGCGGGGTTGGTGGTGTCTCAGCCGCCGGGTATGTTCACGATTCCGCCGGGGCTGAGTCCGGCAAGCTTCCTTGATTCGCCGGGGTTTCTCCCGCATAATTCGCAGGTAATTTTGTTCGTCCTTTGCTATGCCGCCCAGGTGTTTGATGGAGATGATGTTCGTAATTTTGTTAGATTTGATGCGATTCTTTCAGCCAATTGATTCTGCGGTGCGTGTGTTGAACTGGAACCTGGGCAAGATAAGATGGGTTTGTTGTTACGAATTACTACAAACTCAGTAACATGTTTATGTCTTGATCATCACTAATTGTTTGATAAATAGGGGAAAATGAAGTTGGAACAAACATGAAAAGATCCCTCTTGAGCTCTGTGAGAGAAATTGGAGCAAATTAAAGGCTACTTATTTTGCTAGTAGCAAGAGAGAATTTATTTTAGTTAGTTTTAACTTCTATTTTTGTGTACGTTGTACTTCTCAGAACATTCCTGGAAAGTAGGCAGTGACTAAAATTAGCATTAACAAAAACATGAGATGTAATAAGTTGCCTTTTATAGCTACTCAAGCATAGATTTCTATTTCATTGCACAATGGATAGAGAAAATGGATCGACATTTCATTTTATTCAGTTCTGGGTCATTTGCTTGCAGTGTATCAGTTGTAAATTCTAAGTTTTAGCAAATTGGAGTTTTAGGCAGTGTCTCAAACATTTGTGTGCGACGGTTTTAACGATGCGTTTTTTTCCATTATCTTCCGTTTGAAATAGGGTCAGTTGGGAATAGCACATCACCAATATCTTGCTCAAGTGAATGCCCAGCAGGCCCAAATGATCATGCACTCCGAATATCCATCTTTGCAACAAAACGTGCCTCCCCGTAATGAGCCGAGCAAAATATCTCAGTCTGATCAGAAATCCCAACCTGTTAACAATTTAAATGTCGATAAGCCCGCTGACGATGGTTACAACTGGAGGAAGTATGGGCAGAAGCAGGTGAAGGGTGCTGAGTATCCCCGGAGCTATTATAAATGCACTCATCCTAGTTGTCCGGTGAAGAAGAAAGTCGAGCGGTCTCAGGATGCTCAGATAACGGAGATTATATACAAAGGGCAGCATAACCATCCTCCGCCGAGTAAGCGTGCGAAAGATAATAACTCTGAATCTGAGGGTCAGACAGGAAATGTAAACAGGAGTATTGAAGGGTTAGCTGGTATTAAGGATCAAGAATCTAGTCAAGTTACGCCTGAACATCTGTCTGGATCGAGTGACAGTGAAGAAGTTGGCAATGATGAGAGCAGAACAAATGGAAGAGATGAGGATGAGCCCGATTCCAAAAGAAGGTAACGGTTTTGGTTTTGGTTTTGGTTTCACAAGGATTGATTCTGGCCAAAAAAAAAAAAAAAAGCTAACTTTAGAACTACAGAGTGATACCCGGCATTTGAACTTTTTTTGGGCCTATGAAGAGGATGAAATATGTGACAGTAAATCGCAGGGATACATTCTGTAATTCTAGAGTTTGGTATTCAAATCTCAAAGGGACCATTTTGCAATTAAACTTTACAAGAAAATATGTGTTTACTTTGGGCCTTATTACACACAGCCTCCCCCCCCCACCCCCCCCCAAAAAAAAAAAAATATATGGAAGAAAAAGAGAAGGGAAACAGTTATGTCTTGCCTTCTTTACAATTTGAACCCTCTAAGAGGAATTAGAGAAATGGGGTAATTGTTGTTTGGGGAGCTTGCCGGAGCTTTGGTATTTGGATTAAACTCAGGAGTACCAACTAAAACTATTTTAGATTCTGTAAGACTTTTGAATTTAGCATTTTATGTGTCGAAATATTAACAGGAATGTGGAGGTTCAGCCTTTAGAGCAAGCATCGACACACCGCACTGTTACAGAGCCCAGGATCATTGTCCAAACGACAAGTGAAGTGGACCTCTTGGATGATGGTTACAGGTGGCGAAAATATGGCCAGAAGGTTGTCAAAGGGAACCCTTATCCAAGGTGAAAAACATTCCAATTTTCAAAGTCTTGACATGTAAATCTGTGAATTGTGATTTGTGAAGATTAGATCCAAGAAAATTAGCAATAACAATAAATTAGTGGAGAGTCCACCTTTTGGCATTTGCAATGTCAATGATTACAAGCTTTGTTTTTAGCATGAGATTATTGCTATTGTAATCATGAATTAACAAGTCAGCATGGCTGATAATTTAAACTTTTCACAAATACATGCTCAGTAATCTTGGTATCATTACAAATTATACCCCCCAACTAATTTATTAGATTAGTGGATAATTTGTGAGATGAATTCAACCTTGTGAGGTTACTTTTTAAGTTCAAAAGATAGCTAGATTTTTTTTTTTTTTTTGGGGGGGGGGGGTGATTATGCCGGATCTTAGAGTTTATTTAATCATGCAGAAGCTACTACAAATGCACCAGCTCAGGATGCAACGTGCGAAAGCACGTGGAAAGGGCCCCGAGCGATCCAAAGGCCGTTATTACAACATATGAGGGAAAACACAATCACGATGTCCCTGCTGCTAAGACGAGCAGCCAAAGCTCCACAATTGCCACTACACAGTTGAGACCTCATCACAACCCGATAATTAATACGCAAATGGGAAATTTGAGAACAGACTTCAGGAACAACGAGCAGCAGCAGCAGCAGCAGCCTTCTGTAGCACTTCTCCGTTTCAAGGAAGAACAGACAACATAAATTTTCTCAGAGAAAAGTGCAGGTAAAACGCAGAACACAATAAATTTGTTCCTGGTTTTATATAATTGATATTATAAGGAAGATAAAAGAAAATAGGATATACGGGTATACACGTTTTCTGATTGAATATGAACCAATGAGTTCGGGGACGAGTGTTTTGTATATTCTTTTTTTCTTTTTCTTGTCAGGAATGATGCGTGTAGCATTATGTGAATTCTTTGATCCTGTAAATTATTTTGAACTGATGTTTTCTGATTGTGGAAGAATTTTTTACATTTGTATTTGAAAGTTAAAAGAATTGTCGGTGTTTGTTATAAGTTGAAGTGGGGATGTTACCCTTTGAGAATTTATGCTATCTTTTCTTTTTCTTCTGAACTTTCTTAGTTAGTTTGTGTGCTTTATGAATTACACACTACTTGGAGGGATAGTTTATAAACAAAATATAAATTACGTGCAGGATACTTGTCTTTCTTTGACAAAGCCTTCGTAATTTTGGAAAGGTGACTTATATTTATACGCATTGAAGAGCTTTTTCTGCAGTGCTCAAACCAAAGTCTTTGAGATTTCTGTAGGGAACAGCGGTTCTTTAGCAAAGCTTCTCATGGTTTTCGTCTCGTTCACGAAAGAACTCTGCGGATATGAATCGAGCAATGAAGTTTTCTTCCTTAACACATGAAAAGAAAACGATTTTATGTGTCTGATTAGAAGAGGAGAAAGGGAAAGAAAATTTGTTTTTTTTTTTTTTTTTTTTNNTTTTTGGTTGAACTCATAGTCTAATTCGTCTACTTCTTTGTTTCCCTCAAAGTAAAAAATATCTATATTTTTAGTCAAACCGACTCGACTCAGAAAACCGTCGCTGAGCCATGGGTTGCTCTCAGTTGGTGTCGAAGCCGGCCTTGGGGCAGGCCAGCAGGGCGACCGCCAAGGGCCCGCAAATTATGAGGGACCCATTGTTTGTTTTTGTTAAAAAAATATATATATTTTAGTATCATTTGTTTTAAAAAATTGTGTTTTATCTTCACTTACTAGTACAACGCCCGTGTATTATACAGGTGCTTGTTAATTTTTTTTTTTAAAATATTAAATTAATGAAAAAAAAGTAGTTGAAAGTTTAAATACCTTTTATAAAAATATATATATTATTATATAATTAGTATGACACTTTTTATTTGTGCGGCTTACATATGTTATATTATAATATTTTTTTTTTAACTTACAACATATAACTACATTAAACATAAATATATTACTTGAGAAATAATTTTATTTTTCTAATGAATTTTAATAAATATTATTATTTTATTATTATTATAAAAATAAATATAATTTATTTATTTCATATATACAATATGGATGTCAAATCGAGGATCATTAAAAGATGATTAATTTGATATATTATATATGTAAAACCGATAAGAAATACAAAAGTTATCAACTTTTAAAATACATTTACAATTCAATAGATAACTAAAGGAAACATATCAAAAGTATGGATATAATAGTCAATTAGTGTCTCTAAAATTACAAAGAATTAAAGGGTCATATTAGTACAAGTGATATTAAAATACCTAAGTTAGCTAAATAATATTTATGGAATGACCGAACCTAGATTATTAATTATTAATATATCAATATTATTTGTTCAAACCTAATTACGAAGTATGATTTTTCGCCAAGTAGGATTTCGAAGCACCAGAAGCAACCACGTAGGCTCAGCGCATTCGGGAATTATATATAGGGATGATTTTCATACAACCATATATTTTTCTCTTATTTTCTTCAATGTGAAGTAATCACAGTAATCATGATAATATTAATTAATAAGAATGGATAATAAAATAATTTATTTTTTTTTTTAATTTTTGTTCTTTTATTGTTTTACTCGACCAACCTAAATTTTAAATTTCTTACATGAATTTTTAGTTGTGCAATCATATTATCATGAAGGTGTTATATTAATGAATCCTTGTGTGTCTATTAATGTTAGTTATGTAAATTTATCCATTTTTAGTTGCGATTTTCAATTTATTTATTTTTTCATTCTTATATTTTTTTTTAAATAGGCATTTAGTATTTTGCAATAAATTAGAATTGACTATTTTTTAATATAATTAATTTAAATTATATGGCAAAGGTTAAAGAGAGCTTGAAACTTTGGTTATTATATGTTCATACGTTGGCATACAACGTGTGAAGGTGATCAATTCCTTTTGTTATTTTTTGATTGTTTTATTTTCCAAATTAATTTATTATAATTTTTTATCTTCACTAATTTTCTATCATTCCATAATTTTTATGAATCTATTTTCTTAAATAAAAACATTACGAACTGTTTACTACATTTGGTTTAGGGCCTAAAAATTACCAAGACCGGCTCTTTTGGTGTGCATAAGGATGAGTAAACATTTGAGAAAATATTAAACTATTACAGAAAATGAGTTATTTTATTTTATTTTATTGGTCGAAACGATAGGCTTTCGAAATAAAAAACACATAATTACATACTAGTTAACATGTAAACAACCGAATAAGTAAGCTACTCAGTTAAATCTAGTTGGGGGACTAACCTTGTAGGCAGCTAGCCCAAGCAGCCTAGAACCATCCTAAACACAACACATTAAAACCAATAACAAAAGCTCCCAATAAGAGAATAACACAACTCCCAGTAGTAGAATAAACAACTCCCAAATGGGAAACTAAAATACAGAACAACAATGCACAACTATACAAAGAAACGAAATCACACAACAAATATAAAACACCAAGACTACAAATAGAAAAAGAACGCTCTCCCCTCCAACCGATCAGCACCCAGGCCCTTTGCCACCCAACCGACTCCAAAGCGGGAATAGAAGAGACTCCAACCCTGAGCTAGAACACAAGGGTTGAGAAACTCCCCATATGGCTAACTCGACCCGAACTGATGGACCTGAAACCTTCTTTGAATGACCACTGCAGATAGCTCCGAAAGACCGAAACCAAGCGCCCTTTCTGCTACATCAAACGACTTATGCAACCTTAGGACTATTGACACCGAAAGAAACAAGACGGGAGACACAAATCCCCAACCTCCGGCTGATAGCCGCATGCAGCGATTAGCCCAAGACTTGTGCCCTACCCATGACCCAACGACCACCACCATTGTCGCTATGGCATCCAGGTGAACGGACGAAAACCACTCGACATCAGCGACCGCTAGCACGCCGGATGAGCAGGCTAACTGGAGCCATCAGGGAGACAATAGTCGAAGATAACCCACCGAGCCAGACCTTCGCCCAGGTGCAAGCCAAACCACTTCCTTCATCGAGAACTGATGATGACAGCTGACCACAAAACCGCGCCCCTGACGCCCCACCAATCCAAACCTCACAACAAACCCAATAAAAATTAAAGGCCTGAAGCTAGAGAACTCATCTGCCGGAAACAACTTCTCATCTCAGTCCCAAGAAACGACGGAGAAGAAGAGGAAAAGGCCGATGGACCATGACCCCACCCTTGTCGTTGAAACGTCACCCTAATAGTTGATGCTATAACCCAAGAGAGGTCGAGCTACATCGGAGGAGGTAACAGGACATGAACTGAGGGTGAAGGACAGGACGAGAAGGTCGTCACCCCAGAGGAGCCGGAGCTGTAGCAGAGAGGAGGCAACGCGAATTTGAAAAAAGTCGACCGAGGGTTTTGAAGAGAAGATTCTAGGATCTTCTTTCTAGAGAGAGAAACTACAAAAAATGAGTTTCATCAATCAATAAATGGAGCTCTTTTGACGAAATCTATATGACTTGTAGAAACTTTGGCCTTTGATTTTACCATCTTGTTGGGCTTTGAGACATAAATACCTTTTTTTTCTAAACAATAGAAGGATACTTTTAATGAACAAAACCAAGCATTTTACTCTAGAGGGCCAACCGACCTACAAAATGATACACAACTAGGAAGAACACCCACAATGGTGACCTAATTAGAGACTAAAAACACAATAAAAACCAAACATGGTTAAAGGCAGGTATAAATATCACATCCTTTAGCCTGCAACTAAAAAAGTAGAGAAATTCCCACATATTTAAATAAAAGACAACAACATAGAAAATAAAGTAAAGAAGGAAACTAGCACAACCACTAAACCAAATGACCTAGTTGTCTAGTAACATCAAACATGTTTTCGTTGCCTTTGCTGCACCTGAGCAAATTCCTCCTCACCAGGGGCGGAGCCAGCCTCATCATTCACCGAGGTCAGCAATATTTTTTATTGGGGTCATTAACCTAGTAAACAGTGTTTGAACAGTATTTTATACTAAAAATTTTGAAATCTATAGGGGTCAGCTGACCCCAGCGGCAAGGTGCAGCTTCGCCCCTGCTCCTCACTCCCTCCAAGATGCACTAAGTATTGCTCGAGCTGGTATCCAAGTGTTTTTAAATTTCCATATTCGAGCCTTCTAAAGGCACCGGAATGTACTTTCTTAGTTGTATTCAGACTTCGCAAGTCTCTGTGCAGTCCAATGAGAAAATAGTCCACCGTCATTCTTTAAAACTCCTTGTGGCTGTGGAATTCCATCCCAACTTAAAGGTGCTAATTTCTAAATTCTACTGGGCTTGGTGCAGTTAAAAAGAATGTGTCTAGTGGTCTCAACCTCCTCACCATAGCTTTTGAAGATGACATCCACCTAATGTCTTTCTTTTTTACATTGACATTAACCGACAACATACCATTACCCTTCACCATCTAGCCTTTTCTCATCACCTTCTTATTTACATTTGTAGTCTCACTCCCTTCATCCAGATCAAGACTTCTAAACTTGCTAACTATAAAGTTAGAGTAAGACTTGAAAACAGTATAAAGACCATTAGCATCAAAGGCCCAAGACCATCTGTCATTCAAGTTTGGGTTTAAAGAATTGATCCTCGGTATAACCTCACATCTAGAGTCACAAAACATAGTCCTAATCAGAGTCGCAATTCATTTTCTACCTCCCTCTTCCAACAGCTCCCAATCTCAAGTTAGA